TTCAGGCATCCGACAACATCCGATGGCTCGGAGTGTTACGGCGTGCTGTAGGGTAGATCGAGATCGCCGTTCGCCGAGGGTATGGAAAGGTTAAGTGGTGAATACCATAAAGATGGAAAGTCGACGAAGTACTATGGCTAGAAGGAAGCGGGTTTGCGAGAGGAATACTGTAATAATATTATAAGATTGTGAAGCTGGAAAACAACTTTGTTGTAGCTCCAGCTTCTTTAAGTACAAATAACTATCTAACATAATTCGACTAAGATTGTTGTAATTTCCCATCATAACTCAAACTGTGACCTCAACCATATCAATTCCAGTTGGCGCATTATCTAGTCTCACCATATAAGTGCAAGTGTTGAGGGTGAGCCGAAAAACCTGTTCCGTGAATTTTATCCTCAGGTGTTCTGCTTAGACTCTGGTTCAAGAATGTCTCGCCATGACACGGAGTTTACTTGGACCGTAGCCTCACCTTCGATAGCCACGTCGCAAAGTGGACCAGCAAAGCAATGCGGCGAGTCCAACACTTCCGACGACTCACTCAGTGTACTCAGTGTACTCAGGGACCAAGACCCGACTTACTAACCACAGTGATCCGCACGGTAGTCCTGCCAATCGCGATGCACGTAACGGAATCCTGGTACCCGGGGCCAACCAGGGAAACCTATCGGGGTGTCGCGCGAAATTCATGTAAGAGACAGTGCAAAGTTATTAATCAAACTTCTGCCTTTGGAATTCGCGTGGCTCTACCAACCTGGCGCACCATGCCCATCGCAGCCCTGAGAAGGGAGACTGGCATTCCACCAGTACATATTCTGCTCGAGGAACGAAGGCTCAAGACTGCCGCACGAATCCGAAGACTAGATGAGTAACATCCGCTTCGACTTCGGGCCACGAAAAGCACTGACAGCGCTCGTCACCGACTAGGACTAAAGACATGCAACAAAAGCAGACTTGGTCTGGATAGAGTTCATGATTCGAGGGTCCAGAGGATGTACTGACTTCCGCCACCGCTCCGACCTCCGGTACCTCCCCAGCCAATTCCTCGTTGGACAAGCAAGAAAGAGGCTGCCAAGTTCACAAGAGAGTGGCTACCAACACTCCCACCCGAGTGTCTCTGCGTGTACAGTGATGGTTCTGGGGCTTCAACCGACAAAGTGTAATGGGCCTTTGTGACTTTTATCAGCGGCACATGCACGGTAATCGAGCAAAACGGCTCAGGCAAAATCACCAATGCGAAGGTCTACGACGCAGAGGTTCATGGAGCTTTGGCGGCTCTTGAAGCAATCACTGCCAGCAATCAAGATCGCGGACGCAGCGCCATCTATCTCCTGCTCGATAATTTTGCGGCTGCTCAGGCTTTACTGACGGGAACAACAGGCTCATCATCCTGGCGAATCCAAAAGTTCGTGAAAATGGCCGCGAGATCAGCCGCGCCTGTAAAAATAGGATGGATTCCGGGCCACGAAGGGCTGGCAGGAAATGAACTCGCCGATGAACTCGCCCGAAGAGAGCTTAACTCGCCGGACAACTCTAGGACGACACATGGTGTGATGACCCTCGCCTCATCTGGATGCAAAGCCCGTGAACTAGCTAGGCAGATGTTGACAGACTGGTGGCACTTGAATCGCCCCAAACACTACGCCGATCTTGAACTCGAGATGCGCCACAAGAAACCGCCAGAACTAGCGCTACCGAGAGCGATCTACGCCCGCTTAATCGCCGGTCGAACTGGACATGGGGACTTTGCGGCATATCATCGCCGCTTCAACCACACTGTTGCTACACTTAATTGCGAGTGTGGGAAGGAAAAATCAATTGTTCACTTTGTCCAGTGTCAAAGAGCACTGGCAACATGGCGGTTGAAAAGCGGAAAGTGGAAAGCGAAGGGCGTCGGCTCTGGAAACGATGCTCGGATCAAATGGATGGCAGCGGTTCAAGGAATACGTCCAGGAGAGCGGAATATACGCGGAGTCTAGTCGGGGGATGGCAGGGATACCTGTGAATCGGAGCTGATAGAACGGAAGCCTGGGTGGTTTGGCATGGAAAGAGGGATTGGATTCGAGACTCAGGCGCGTGGTGGATGAGGCGGAACGATGGAAGGGAGATTGTTTAAGTTTTTCTTTTGTAATGCGGGCTTTCGCGTGAGAGTTTTTGGTTTGTTTTCAATTCTTGGCTGCTGAATTCGTCATGGTTCAACACATAGATGCGTTTTGGCATGGTTCCGGTCATTTAGGTGGGACGAGGCATTTGTACTGTACGGTAGTTAACCTGATCCGGCCCGACCCAACTCGTGCTCAAGCTCCAGTAGGAGTGCGGCGGGAATCACTATACCTAGCACGTAAATGAACGAAACGAAACAAAACAAAACCCGCCAATGACCATCTTTTTGTTGACTAGAGAAGGGAGTTAATTAAGGGCAAAGGGCTCCCTTGAGTGTATAATTGAATGGAGACTTGTGAGGGATGGTACTGTTGAAAGGGAGCTATATGGGAGGGATAGGAGGCATAGGAGGGGATATACCACTGGCATAGGTATCTTTGGCCCGTACGTCCACAACACTCTGTGTCTCCCTTTCCAACGCAAAGCATTGATTTGTTTCGTGTAGTCCCTGATCTGATGGGTACCCGCACACCCTCCACATCTCCTTGCCTAATTGCAAGAGACTTGGATATGCCCCAATCGACTAGAGTTGAAGCACCGCTTGCCTTGCACACTGGGTGACCAGAGCTGGGCCGTGTACAACATTGATTTAAAAAAAGTGCCGTTTCTTATCATTTCACATTAAAGTGGCTCTGTCGGTAGGCTCACCATTACTGATCCTCGAGTATGACCATTTTTCCTCATCTACTGGTGCTCCTTCCCGTCGAACGGCCAGCCCACTCGGTTGATTTTTAGTTCTGGAATCAGAACTTTTGTCCCTTCATTCATTTCGTATATCATTGTGCCGTCGTCGTCAATTTTTTTTTCAACAGATCATGGTCCCCAATAGCACTCCTAAAATACCAACAAGATAATCTTACTTTAGGGCGCAGAAATTCTTCAAATATGCCATATTCGGGGCAACGTCTCGCTACGAGGCCGTCTGCAAGAACAACCCAGTGTAGTTACTCCATAGCTGCCTTATTGTTATGCTCAGCTATGTAGTATGCTGGATCTAGTAGCCGGTGCTTGAATAGTTAGTATGGCAGTATGACAGTGTAGCACATGAGGAAGATCCAGTCTCTACATATTGGCATTACGAGTAGTACAGTGTGCAATATGATAGATGGGTTGTTGATGTAGAACAACTGGCATAACTGCTCAGTTGGGAGGAGACTTTTGTGTACTGCATACAGGTGACGCGATTGATCTACAGGCGAACAAGCTAGGGGATAAGGGACGAGCTTCCCCCAGTCTGTAACAGACAAATTACCATCGTAACTTCACTGTAATAAATTAATGTAAATATCTCTCCACAAACTATCTTAGCTGTTCAAGCGCAAGTATATATTCTCAAATCATATACCAATCATAATACTTATTACGTATGCCTTCTCGATATATTAGTTCACGTTATGGAACAGGTCTGCAGGCTGCATTACATCTGCACCTTCAACTCATATCCGTACTATCGCTTTGGAGGCTCGTGGTGCAATGTTTGAGGGATAAGTTTGTCGTCCACTCATTGTTTGTGCCGACTGAGGAGCCGATGGGCAAGAAGGCTCCTCGAAACACTTCTTAACTGCCTTAACTAAGGCCAGCATCCTTTCCTCCATTTGGGTTGCCGTCATCTTTGACCGTAGCATGTCAGCGTGGGCTTTAAAGGCTTCGATACCCTCATGTATCTCGACCATGGGTGATGCAGATTTGTCAGTGGCTGCGATAGCCACTTTGTCTCGAATCCGACTTAAGTATTATGTACAGTCTTGAGGTTATCCATTTTAACGCCTTGAGAAATCGTGAGAGAATCCGTAGCCTTAATTGCGGCTGTTCCACTGTCCGTTGGTGTTCTCGATGGTGCCATGAACATTTTTCCAGCCATGAATTCCACCATTCTAGATCCTTAACCCTACATTTCGAAGCGCAACAAGAAAGAATCTTTCTCAGGAGATAAGATGGGTCAATTTTGATAGTAATAATTAATAAAATGATAAAAAAACATTTGTGGAACGTGACGCGGCTTCCAACCAAAAGAAAATTCCTGAAATAAATACATTAATGACTAAATAATTAGAAAGAGAAACTTTACAGTTATTCAGACCTCAGAAAGATAAATGGTACAGCTACATGAAGGGACACATATTTTGTACTCATCATCTATCAATTCCTCATGGGGTGACCGTAGTTTTCGATGCAGTTGCCTAAAATACTTCTAAAACACGTATCCACATTCTTTTTCAGGGGTGGATATGGTCAGAAAATTCTACTGCTGATTGATGACTGTAGCTTTTTGGTCAGCTAATTTGCTAAATACAAAGCTCGAAATTAACGATACATTCTAGAGATCCTGATCTTTACCTGTGTTGAATTAAAATCTGATGCATTCCGTGGCTTGATGCTTGTTGCTTCTAGATAATTTTTGTCATGTTACTCACTAATGTCATCAAGCATGAGCGCATCATTCAAAAATTAATTTTAATCAGAGAACATTGACCTTTTTGTTTCAAATTTTTCTCAATAATAGACACAATCCAAGATCATCAAGTATTACATTATTTAATATCATATCTGTTTACTTGTGTATGTTTACGTCTATTTGCTCAATCTACAAACTTTGATCCCATATAGCAACCAACATTTGTTGTCGATGAAGAATTGTTAAAGTAAATTGATTTGTTATCTACGGATCGTTATTAGTCCCATAGTCAGAAGAAGTACATTCATTTGACTACTTGCCGGCTCATAAAAGTACCGCGTGTTGACGATGTCCCATTCTCAACTTTTAGCCCTCTGCACTCAGTGTTTCGGTATCTGCTCTTGGTGTCAGCGGCATTCTTTCTTTCAGATCCGAAACCGCTTCATCTCCTGCGCTTACTAGATCTGGCAAGCTGTTCGACTACTAGTCATTTTATCTCAGTTAGTAAAGAGTAATTCTTAATGAACAGTCTGATAACACACTAGGTATTAACACTCACATTTGATCCCCTTGATTTCATCGTCAAACGCTTTAAGAATGAGGTCATAAACCTCATCTGCGAAGGGATTCGTACTTGTATCGACGCCCGTTGATCTATCAAATAGTATTATCCGCAATCTTGTCACTAGTGCTTTGACACAGTCGTACCTCGTCGAGAAATGGTCCAGGAGACATTTTTTGAAATATTTATGAGAAACCGCTTCTTTTTTATTCAAATACATATTTTGGACTGTCCCTGTGTACCACTTCGATAAAACATCAGTGTGGCCCGACTTTTTGTTCCCCCAGCCAAATCGGATGCACGCTGACACGAGAACGTAGAAGAAAGACTCTAGGTCGTGTCGATACGTATGCTTATACCCCTTGCCGGTCTCGTAAATATTCGCTTGCAATATTCCGAGGGCGATATATTCCATAGTACCAGTCATTGTCTGCCTATTTTGTTCACTATTCACATCGTTCAAAGATATTGCCAGGTCAAGATCTATCAATAACCCATACCGACCATTGTTAACAGCCGGATCGGTCAGTATAATGTTATTAATAGACACGTCCCGATGCAATATCCTAGCCTCCTTGAAAAGTGACTGATGGGCCAAGATCGCATCGCGGATACCCTGCAACAAGTCAAGGGCTGTTGTTTCCTCGCCAATCGATCGACCACGAGGTTCAGTGGCAATGAATGTCTTTTGACGATCTCGATAGGCAATCGACAGCTCTGGCGTTCCGGGATCGTCTACACCTCCATCGTTCACGACAGTAGGAGTCGCTTCAGCACCATCGCCTGTTCGGTCCCCAGGAGCAGAAGTTAGTGGGCCCACCTGAGTAGAGATTGGCGCTGTTCCATCTCCAGACACCGTTTCCCTGGCAGTACTCGATATGCGAAGCCTTTTCAACTCACGATCAGGCACGGCAGAATGTTTCTCTTGCGCAAGATCCGGGTTTCGACGTCTTTTAGATCCCGACTTGCTGGACTCAGACTTGCAGGATCGGCCGCTTTTTCGAGTTTGGACAAAGTATTTGACTGGCTCTCCAGAGCTGATTCTCGTCGAGCGGCGCACTATTTTCGCAGGTGCTACCTCTCCTGAGCCTGTCGGATTTCCGTTGCCTTGATCGCTAATCACTGCTGCATTTTTCTGCGCTTCTCCTGCGATATCTGACACGCGTATCCTCTTGCTTCTCTCGTCGCCATCGTCGCCAATACTGTCCTCGGCTCGGTCTTTACGCTTCTCAGATGTCCTTTGCTCATTACTTTGGACCGGAATCGGTGGACCTGCCTCTATTGGCTCGACGGTTGTTGTCATAAGAGAGTCGTCTGGATGGACGTCTCTTTTCATCTCACTCGTGATTTTCAAACCCTTGCGAAGTTCACTTATCTTCGAGTCATCCCGTGAGCCAATAAGCCGAGCCACACCTCGCACGTCGCGTGCCTGCATGAGAAGGTTCACTTCAGACAGCCTATCCACTGCTCTCCATGAAATTTTGACCACGTACGTCCCATCCAGAGCGCGGTAGCAAGCTGTGCCACGGGAGACGATCGCCCTCTGTGCGAAGAACGGCTCAGCTTCCAGAATTAGAGTGCGAGGCTCTTGGGTGTTAGCATCCGTGACAGTGATAATCGTCTGCCCTCTTTCATGTCGCACCGATGTATCGATCCCAAGCTCCTCGTCGCTCATCATCATATAGGCCGTTATGACGTATACAAACACCTCAGGGTTTTCACCAATATCAATGAAGCCTGTGGAGTATGGGCCCGACCGATCAAACACCCACAGTTGCAATTTGGTGTCCAACAAAAGGAATCCATGCACAAACTTACGCAATGGCTGAGCCGTAAACACCTCCCGCATGTAAACAGCAAGTTGGAGAAACTTATCCATCCACGCACTAGTGGGAAGCTTGGTAATCTCTCCCAAGACTTGTATATCCCGCCAGCTGTGGGGAGTACCGCGACGGAGGCTGCGACTTTTGATGAAAAAGTCTACTTGTCGGAAACAAGGGCCGCCCTTGATTTGGGATCCATTAGTTGTCAGGAACTTCTGTCCGCGCAGAGGAAATGTCTTTCTCTTCTTGGATGCGTTTGATTGGTCGGGTGCATTGAGTGTCATGGGTGTATTGGCTTCATCTGCAGCTTCCTCGGCCGGAGGATCCCGATACTGCTCGATAAATTTTGTCTGGACCGTTTTGATCCACTGCCATACATTTGCCTCCGTACGATCGTCCGGAAATTGGAATGATTCTTGGTCTTTCCTATTAGCATAGCTCTCGGAAATCTTCTGGCATTTGCTCGCCCAAAGCGGTTTCTCAAAGAATTTCTCGTAAAACCCCGTGACATCTTCAAAGACAGTTCCCGTCAGTTCCTTTCTCAAAGCATCTTTGAGTATGTCCATAGTTTCATCAGTACCTTTTAGTTGCGCCGTTGTGTATATATGTTGTGCGTCGGGATGATGGGATGAAGATGCGTCGATCTGTAAGGGTGTGATAGGCTCAAGGTTGTCGACGAGATCAGTCAGATGACCCCATATCTCGATATCGGCAGAATTAAAAAGAATCGAGGTTACAAGAGGTAGGAAGAAAGAGGTGTGAATAGCTTTTGATTCTAATCGGTTAAGGATGGAAAGCAACCGGCCAGACATGTTTTTTTCGATGGTCGAGGGAACCACCTTTCTTTGGGCATAACTCTGAAATAAACTTAACAAATTAACCAGAAGATCAGATTCGAGTGTAAGATCAACGACTTCGCTAGTACTTTCTCTGTCGATCTTAAATTTTTCAAAATCAGAATTTCGACGGATAAATGAGGTAATTTTTTCGAGAGGATATTCAATGAAATGTTGGACGTCTTCATCTGAGATTGTCATCTTGACGAGTAGGATGCTGTTGGTGATCGCTGAAAAAGAATGATGGCGATGTGAATAGGATATGAATGATATGTCAAGGACGTTGGATAATGGATAATGGATATTGGATAATGGATAATGGATAATGGACAAAGTAGCTAGATGGAGTTGTGGTGACTTTATATTAATTTACAACATCAAGAGGAGAATCGAAATTGGAATTCGACAGTTATGTGGACAGCGACTGCGCATTCTTCAACGCCTTTCAAATCTATCAAATAAAAATGAAGATCATTATTTTGGGTAATGCAGATCATCTTGCGAGCGTGGCACTTGGATGGCATGGCTATTCACGTAACCCCTGCCTGCATCTATAGTAATTTGTACCCGACGGATAATACCTGTTGTTAACAGGAGTAGATACTCCGACATAAAATCATGAAGGTTTTCACGTAACATGGTTTGATACATCGTCATTCAATTGTTCTTCATGATGGAGCCGCCCAAACTGACATCTTGTCGCCCCATACTAATGCGACGTACTGGTTGCGGAGTGGTGGCCAGTAAGGGCAACTATCTGGCACTTGGCTTGCTCGCTGATAGCGCTTAAAGTGAAACATAATTTTTATTTTTACGGCTATGACAACAAACACGATATGTTCTAGCTTTAAAATGTTCTACAAGGCTGACGACTGAGCACCATTGGATACGACTCCCCTCAATTTGTTGCTGGCATTTCACCGATACGAATCGAATATCTTATTACCACTTGGCGAAGGTAAAGGTGATAGAAGCTGCATGATAACATTGTGATCAAGTTTTCCGGAAATAATTCAGCCCACGCCATTGGTTGCCGGGTACGGAGTTTGTGTTTCTATGTTAGTTCCGATTCTCGGTCATGTTGAGATCAAGTTACTTCGCTACCCCATGAGATTCTAAAATCATGTTACGATGAAATTTTGTGGAGGAAAGAAACATGCTAATCCCCAGCGATATCCGCCCTGCGTCTACTCTATGGCCACGGTTTCAAGTTTGTAGTGGTTTGAGATAGGGCGTATAATCGATCAGGGAGTAGATACCTGTTAGCGCTTAATTCGACAGGGTACATGAATTTGTTCTGGATTTCAAGACCTAAACTGTAGGCACAATCTGAATTCTTCTCCCTCTGAGGTTTATACAAGTCCAAATAGCCTTCTGATTCTTTTCCATCACTACTCTGTCCGCCGACCGCTAAAGAAATTAAACAGCTTTTCCCATCTTGTGATTGAGTGATAATAAGATTTAGTCTTTTGAAATACAAAGTTGTTTATTCCGGTTTCACATGGATTGACTCGATATTAACCTAAGCAGCAGATGAATCTACTCCGACTCCACCCCAACACCAAGATTATATTAACTATCCGGAGATCAATACATTTAAGTACGGCGAAAAATTAAATAAGAACGAACTTAAATGAAATGAAATGAAATTGTAAGATTTATCGGTTCTATGAATCTGGTATAAAACAGACGCAGGTAGCCCTGCCACTAGGTATTTCTGGGGGACAAGTTAGTCATCACTGCGGCGCGGAATTGTCTCCCCCAAAAAGAGAAAAAGAACATCCGTCAGACTGAAAGTAGATGATGTTTATCAGATTATATCTTACGTTGAGTTTTCACCTCAAAACCGCCGCAAAACATTGCTAAATATCGCCTTTGGCTTCTTAGGATATCTTAGTGTCAGCGAGCGAGTAAAACAAAGAGAACTGAAGAAAAGGGGATTTCAACGACAAGTATCTCGTCTTAAGCCTCCAATATGTCGCAAAACTGTGAAGACATGCAAGGAATGGACCGAAGATCACCTCAATGGGGCATATGAAGACTGGGTGTCAGTTTTATCATCAGATGAAATTTGGGTAAAGGATGGAAGATTTTTTAGAAAATGGGTAACAAGAAGTGTTTACTATCTCTTCCCATGAAGATATTAGTTTGTTTCTCTATTTTATGATCTAGACTTCCTGAAAACACAATGCTGACTGTGTTGGAGAAAAATCGAAAAGGGTCGGCTGGATGTTGTGGGGTGGCTTCGCAGGGCCAGAAAAAGGTCCCTATTTATTTTTGGGAGAAGGAGTGGGGATCTATCAACTCCCAAAAATATTGCAGGAAAATAGTTCCTCTCAAGTAAGGCTAGGTCTAGATAATGCCCTAGATCTCCGTAATGCGGAACAATGCTCACACTCACGTAGCAGCAAGTACAGAGGGAGATGTGAGCCAGAGGCTCATTCAACTGATCTTCCGGCCAGCTAACTCAACTGATCTTAACCCGATTAAAGCTGTTGGGATAAGACGAAGAATTACATCCACCATCATCATCTGAATCTGGGTGTCGGAAACAGAGAACTTCAGATAGTCTTTGCAAACTCGTTTTTTTTTCATTAAGTGTATGCAGCCTAACTATCTATGACGCAAGATCGTTAAGGAGGCATGGGATTCCGTATCTCCCGAAGATCTTGTGAGAATCATTGAGAGTATGCCAGCAAGCTGTTAGGCTGTGATAGATGCGGATGGGAGACCAACCAGATATGAAGGCCTGAAAATATATCAGCTTAATGTTCAGATCCAAGGTTAAGATCGACTACAGTTCCATTTTGTAATTCGAAAATCTTTGAAGTCTTGTAAAAAAGATATAAAGTCAAGTAGTAAGATTGCACAAATGTTATGCAGCTGATCATTAAACCGATTAGGTTTAGTCCGGAGTAATTATCCACTGCATGGTGCCCAGAAAATTATTGGAGGACTATGGCTGAACATCTGTCAGTGGTGTGCTTTTCGAACCTGGGAGTGATATGTTCTCCCAGAGCCGAGAATCAGTCACGACAAAGGGTGGATTTGAGAGTTTTCGTCGAGTTGGCGATCGGGAGGAGCAGGGTTCGCTAATTTTTAGTCTTAAATCCGACTCCCAGAGATTGTACGACTGCACAACTCAACTAAATCAACCATCTATACCCCAGATACAAACCGCAGGCAGACTATAACCTGTCTGATGTTCTCGTTATAACAACCGACACCTTCAAGATCTTATTTTGCGTTTCTCTGGAAAATCATTCCCAGCCAAACTCATCTAGCGGCCCTCTCCAAAATCATCTCACCACCTACCGAAGCAACCTCATACCTCAAAAAGGTCAAATCTTCAACAAAGAAGCAAGAGTAAGTCTGACCCTCCGCAACTGCCAGTCGCTGTGGAGGTACGGCCCAAGTACCGGCCTTAAATGTGTCCTCACCTCAACCAAGGGCGCCAACAACTCAAATTGCGACGAATCACCACCGTCGAAATACATAGACATTTTGCCGGCACACCAACAAGAGCGTTCGACCATGG